TGAGCTTGTGCAAAAATTGAAATTATAATAAAGATCATAATCAAATTTAATCTCTCGTCTCGGTACTAGTAGGGCATGTTATTACCAGTATCGGTGTACAAGAGGGAAGAAAAAACACCCAGCACAGGGGGGTCGCGGCACAGTGGTGACGTGACATAATTGGATCAAGTATAATGATATCTGACAGTGATTAAAATCACTATAAAAAAAAAAAAAGCTTCGATGCAAATCTTTAGATAGTGTTTAATTTTAAAAAAATTGTGGATTATTCCAAGAGCTACATGATCTGCTAGTTCCTGATTAAGATAAAGAATGTCGAATGAAAAAGGGATTATTAAAAAATATTATTTCTCATAAAAAAATTATGTTGATCCATACACTTTTCAATAAGTTATAGCATTATAAAGTTAAAAATGTAAAAAATATTTTTACGTAAAATTTTAATGAGAATTTTCACACAAAAATAGCATTTGGTATATTCAGCATGAAGACGAAATGAAGTCCAACATTTTTTTTTTCCATAATAAAGTACATTACATTATCTTTAATTTAAGATATATATAAAAGTGTCAGACTTTCCGGAACAGTTTCAAAATTTAAGTTGAAAAAGTAAATTTTTTGTGAAAAAGTTGTCATTTTGAATCCCCCCCTGTAGGCAGGTAAAAAGTCAGATTTATAAAAAAAATATACCAAATGATAGGTAAAGACATCATGCATCTACAAAAAAAAGAATTATATTGATCCATACATCTTTCGAGAAGTTATAGCANACAAAAAAAATAATTATATTGATCCATACATCTTTCAAAAAGTGATAGCATTATTAAGTAAAAAATATAAAAAATAATTATTTTTCAAAAATTGTAATTTTTTTTTTAACTTTGATGTCTATTATCACCACAAAGACAAGTCCAGAGGTCAAATATTTTTGTTTTAGTAATAAAGTATATTACATTACCTTTAATTTAAGATATATATAAAAGTATTAGACCTTCCGGAACACTTTCAAAAATTAAGTTGAAAAAGTTAATTTTTTGTGAAAAAGTTAACATTTTAAATCCTCTCCTGTGAGCAGGTAAAGGGTCAAATATAAAAAAAATATACCAAATGAAAGATAATGATAACATGCATCTATAAAAAAAAATTATATTGATTTGGCCATTTTTGAAAAAGTTATGGCAATTTTAAGTAAAAAAAATTGAAAAAATTTTGAAAATTAGCGATTTTTTAATTTGTAATTTTTTGGAGGTTTCCCCCATTTACGGGGAACGAGGAAAATTTTTTCAATTTTTGAGGGTAATGTCTACGATTAGATACGATTTGTGATCTTTTGACGTATCATTGAAAGAAATCGGTTTGGTGAGAGTTGAAAAAAAGTGAAAACGGACACAAAAAAAAAAAAACACATCATAGTAAAACCAATACTTCTCAGCTACACATTGAAGCTAAAAATTTGGTGGGATTGGTTCATTCAGAAATTTTTTTTATTAAATGACTATGAAATTAACNACACATTGAAGCTAAAAATTTGGTGGGATTGGTTCATTCAGAAATTTTTTTTATTAAATGACTATGAAATTAACTAAATTGTATAACACCCTCATTAGAAAATATTTTTGTAAAACAATATAAATAGATTGTATAACTAATAGGTTATATTGTTTTGTATCATAACTCTATTTACCATACATATGCCTCTTTTGCCATACATATGTATGAAAATTATTATCATCTTTGTACAATGAATTAAATATTAAATTTATAAAACTATGGAAA